GAGTTTCCACCAAATATCTCTGGGCTGCTTTGAACAAACTGTCTGATCTGCTACCAGGAATGTCAAGACTACAAGCTGCTCCAAACGGCTGACCAAGGGAGGGAAGCCCACTCAAAAGCTCATGCGGGGCGCTGTTGTTAAAGCTGGATGCTCCTGGCACTTTGTTCTGCTGCGGGCTCTGCTGAATATCCTCCTGGCAAATCTACACAGCATGATCGTACAGCCTCAGGATGCCTGCCTAGCCCTCTGCACACTCAGCGAGAACGCATGCATTATGTAGAGCCAAGCGGGATCTTGAGACTGCCTGCTTGCAGCGGATAGACTCAACTCGGCTTGATGCTAAGCAGCAGCGGCCAAGCGGGCGATGTGCAATTTCTGATGTGCCCTTAGAGGTTACCCTGTTGCCATGTCATCATGTGGGCACTTTCCATGACTTGCCAAGCGAAGGCGGAAGGCACCAGAAGATTGTCGCTGTCAACGTTTGGTGCCAGGCCCATGGCAACCTCAGAGAGCTCGTGGCGTTCTGATGAATAAAGTTGAATAAAGAGTCCATTCAGGTCTGATCACAAGATTGAGAGCGGTACATGCAAAGAGCCGCAAATTTGTCTCGTCAAAACATGCAAAGCGAGCAAAGCTAAGCGCCGACACGTCTGCCAGGCAAGTGGCCACCAATGGGCAGTTCTGACAGAGACAGATCCACAGGTGGATAGGTTTGATGGGTTGAGGATGGGTTGAGGTGTGTGAGTCGGGAAAAACGGGAAGGCACGTTCTACCCTTGGTCTGCACCCGGCTGCCCCCCTGTCCATCACTTCATTCATCTTTTTGAAAGGTTTCAACATATCTCTGTACCTGGCTTCCCCTGTGGTCTCACCTGTGATGCCCCTCTAATTATCGCCGTTGAGAAAGGGGTGGTTTTAGCGTCTGTCTGTACCTGGCTTTCCCCCTCTCAGCTTTCGTGTCTTTCTAGCTATCGCAAAATGAAAGGTGGTGACCTAAAAAAAATATGTCTGTACCTAGCTTTCCGTCTGCCACTTGATTTATGTTTGCAAGCTGCAAAGGGGGCTGGGTTTTACCTATGTCTGCGCCTGGCTTTGCCCCTGTCATTTCATTCCACCTCTTGCAACGGGAAAATTGTGGTTCAACGTATATCTTTGGCTGGCTTTCCCTCTTGCAGCTGTGATTTCTTTCTACTTATCGCAAGGTGAACAAGGGGCGCTTTAAGCATCTGTCTGTACCTGGTGTTCCCTGTTGCAACTGTCATTCTCGCAACATGGCAAGGGGCTGGTTTTAACACATGTCTGCACCTGGCTTTCTCTCTGTCAATTCAGCATCATAGAGGAGATGAGAGGGTGATTTGAACATACATCTAAGCTTTCCCCCTGTGACTCCAATTGCAAGGTGAAAGGGCAATGGTTCTCATACGTCTGTACCTGGCCTTCCACTTCACTTTCCGGCTATCACCTCATCCCTATGATTGCCAGTTGAAAAGTGGGACCTATGTCTGCCCTCTCAGCTGTCATTTCTTGCTATGTATCGCAAGGTGAAGAGGGGTGGTTGTAACATGTGTCTACACCTGGCTGTCCTTCTTTCAGCTGGCATTTCTTTTTCCAAGGTTAACAGGTGGTGGCTTTAACATATGTATGTAAATGGCTTTCCCTGTCTCAGCTGTCATTTCTTGCTACGTATCGCAAGGTGACAGCGGTTAGCTTTAACATATGTACGTAGCTGGCTTTCCCTCTATCACTTCCTTCCACTCATCGCAAGGCGTGGTGCTAACATGTGTGTGCAGCAGCTTTTGTTCTGACTTGCGGTTGTTTTCCTCACTCACGGCTGTCTTTCTTGACTGCAGATCTTTTTCCTGACTCGTTGGTTTCCCTGACTCGTGATGACTCCTGCCCTGATTGTTTACTGACTCGTGTTTCTGTTTTTCCTGACTCGTGCCTTTCTCTTTCCTGACTCGTAGTATTTTTTTCTCTGCTTGCTTTTCCTGACTCGTGCTTCATTCGAACTTGTACTATCACCCGAGACGTGTTAAAAACAGTCGATACCATAAAAAAATGATATACTGGTCTAGCTGACTCTAGCTATCCGTGTCTGCAACGGGCCAACATCGCTGCTCCAGCAGCAAGAGCGAAATCTAATCCTATGCACGCTATCATGCCACATGATCATGTCACATGCCTTTGGCTCCTGGCAGAAAAGTCCTACTTTGGTTGCGGAGCACCATGCACACGCGACTAGAGAGTGCAGATTTGAGGTGGTCCTGCAGGTCGTCGTCTGCTTTGGCGGCAGCTACCTGAGCTGGCTCGACGTGGTAGCGAATGATTCGCACCTTCCTAAACACGGAGAGCTCAGTTTCCAGCGAAATGCTTTATGCTGAGAAGTCGGAGACGTTCCTGGTGTTTAGCTGAAATTCCGATATCCCATGGCTGTCACATCAGGATTTCATAGGCGCTAAGGCCGCTGCCGGAGGCTTGGAAGCTGCAGCACCTTTCATGTTGCAGCTTTGGAATAGCCAGCGGCAAGACGGAAAAGCTATAAATGGCTATAAACTCAATAGCTTGGCACTTTCTCCCAACTCCAACTTCCTCACCTGCCCCTCTGTCATGAGTCCCGGTACATTGACAACTCACAACGTGGAAAGCCCGCGCCTTCCTGAAGCCTGCTTGGTGGTTGGAACTGGTGCCGAGCACCTCTGGGCAGTGAATGAACTCTTATGGAAACTGCATAGCTATCAGCGATCTTTTGCTCTACTCCTTCTGCTGTGCCGCACCTTGCGTGCCAGAGGCGGGCCGCTGCCTTGTTGCAAAGGAGTATCAACAGAACAAAACAGAACAAGCTAGCTTTTGCATGCCGCATGCTGCTACTGCAGAGCACCTCTCAGGTGCCTACGCAGTACCCGGTCGGGATCCCGCTGTGGACGGACGCCCCGCGGCTGCAGCCTTTTGGAACGCAGGGATGCGAAGCGACATCGCTGAGTGCTGCTTCAAGCACTGTCCACTGCTCAAGATGGATTGCAGCTTGCATGTATAATTGATCTCAAGCCTCTTAAGGCTTCGGCCGCTTTTCGAGCTGCATGGGAAGCAGCAGAACCCACAACGTCCTGGTTTCGCAAGTGCTGGGCACGAGCGCTCTGGCTGTAGATGCCACCAGGCCTCCAGGGCTGCGAGGACCCAGGCAGCGCCTCGCTCAGTCCAGGCCTGCGTGCGATCAAACTCATCATTTCCGGACCTGCAGGAGATGCAGGGTTGGACAGGATGGGCCTCGCCGCCTGCTGCTCCGTCTTTGGCAGCTGGCGCCTGCACCGTGAGCCAAGGCCGAGACGAATCCAGACGAACGTAGCAGAGCAGCTGAGGCGGCTGAGCCAGGTACGGGACTGGCGCTGCGAGGTAGACCCAGGCGACCTGACTTTATTCTAAGAGCCCTGCTGAAACTCAAATGTGTTGGTGCTGACCTTTGCTCTGGCATGAAGCTCGCAAAGCTGAGAAGAGAACCTCGCTTCAACACATCGGCGAGCTTCTTTTGCCTCATGCGACCGAAAGGGAGGAGCGAGCATGGACAAAAGCAACGAGGAAAACGCGAAGATCTTAAAAGCTCGGACACCTGTGGCCCTGGCAACGGGAGGGTCTGGCTTGCGCCCTGCCGACATGTGGACAAGGCGAGAACTCAGGCCTTTGGTGTAGTACTTCAAGAACATTTTTTGACTATCTACTTCCTGTCAGAGTGCTGCCGTTCTGCCTCCAAGCGCTCCGAGGCATCATCCCACCTACATATTTCTGGTACCATCATGGAGGGCAGAGGCATGCAAAGAGGCATGATGCTGTAGCAATCCCACCAGGCAGCGGTGCAGGTGGTCCCGACCTCGGATCAGAGGAGCTGCTGGACAGCTGCGGCGTCGTCTGTTGAAGCATCAATTCGGGCCGTGGCCAGTGTGTGAAGCCGGCTTTGTAATGCGTCAGCCTTGCATGGATGGAGCTTGGTGTGTTGAGGATCTTCTTCAGGTCCAGCAATGAAACTTGGACATTCGGGGGGCTCCATGCCCTCTTGCTCAATACTGAGGTGAGAGCGCTGACAGGCGCGTTGGATGCGGCATCATACCTGCTTGCGCAACCAGGCTCCAGACTTCCAGCTGCATCACGCACTCACATATGTAGCTGCCCTTGCAACGCAGCCAAGCAACGCTGCCAACCAAGCGTCGATGAGCGACTGCGCCTGGCTCATGTGCAACCCTGCGCAAGGATGCAATGCGTTCCAGGGAGGGACAGGAGGGAGGAGGACAAGGGAGAGGGGCAGCAAGACGCACAAAGGGAGAGAGATGAGAGAGAGCAAGAGAGCTCGTGCCGTGTCCATTCAAACAGCCTAATGCCCTCACACAGAGCCGGGAAGACAATTTGGAAGCTCGCGGACATGAAACTTCGTGCAGGCACCAGCCTTTGTTGCAATGCATCGGCAGCTCATAATCCACACTTTGAGGAGAAATCCATCAAAGGTTCCATGTGTCCGTTTGTTTTTGTGGAACGCCTTGTCCACAAAGGGTCTTCTGAGGAAGAAACATCACAGTCGAGCTTGAAATCTAATGGAAGTTACACCATCTTGCAGAGCTTGGGCCTTGTTGGCAGCGCTTGCAATACCACGGCCACCACAACTCCGCATACGACCTGCTGGCACGTGAAAGACTTGAGAATTCCTCAGTCTGCTGAGGGCAACGGCTTTCTTGCTTCGAGTGCTTGAAGCAAATGCTCTGAGGGACAATAAGTGAACTAGACTCAACTAGACCACAAGGACGGGCATCCTCGTCATCGGCACTTGGCATGGCGTCATTGTTGTATCATCACAGCTGGGCAGCCAATGAAAGGCAGTGCTTGATTGGAGTCTGAGAACCTGTGTTTGCTCACTAGATGATTGTGCTGCTTGAGGCACATCAAAGCATTTGCACACCGGAAGCTGCAAACCATGGCTCATGAATGATGCGGTGTTATGCATCTTTTCTTTCTGGAGCGTCACCTAGCCATGTGGTCTCGGTACCCCGCAGCTCGCGTGATACTCAAGTCATATAGCGCCTCAGCGCAAGGATCTACACTACGATGGTTTTAACTTCAGGCGGCAGTGCTTAAAGCAAACCTCCTTGAATGTTAGAGACATAGTGCATAAGTGTGCATAGTCTCTTATGTGCAGCGAGTCTGCACAAGCCTTAGATGGATTGATTTTCATGCTTGTGGGATGGGTTTCCTGTCGCGGGCAGAATCTTCTGAATATGGTTGCCTTTTGCAGGGACACTCACACTCCCTTTCCTCAAGAATAGGTTTCTGGCATTGTGCGCTCAGTAAAACACTATCTACCCGCGCTTGGATCCTCATGGTTGGCGCTGTAATCTGTCCAGCGCCCTTTTAGCTTGAACTATCGATGTCCTACACTGTAAAAATCATGCGCCGCTTTCGCCGCCGAATTTGCGCGGTAGGTCTCATCCAGCTTCAAGCGAAGCTCAAAAGTTGCCGACAACTTAACAGCCCAAGTACGTAGCCCCGTTAGCTGCACGGAAAACCAGGCGGTGCCCGTACGCTCTCTGTGTCAGCTTCTAAACTACATGTCAGCACGCCCATTAAGGCTTCCCGGCAAAGGCTTGGGCCCACAAACTTTGTTCAGACTTAAGATTGCTAACGGCCAGTGACACGCAGGAAAGACAACCTGTCGCTAGCTGTCGCTGAGTGATCAAGGTGGTCCGAGGCCACATCTCAAGTTGAAGGGGTTGTTACACACAGCCTTCAAAACAACAAGACATCCTCACGCATTACGGGAAGTCGAAGAAGTAGGAAAAGGATGAAATTTGCACTGCAACCTTCCAACCTGCGCATGTCATGCTCCAAGACTCCAGCCCCGTCCTCTCGCGTAGTTGCTTGCCCACACCTCAAGTAGGCCCAGTTGCAAGCAACAATTCAGTTAGAAAGTGCAGCTGAGTCACCAGGTCTGCGGCGAGCAGCGTGGTGCACAAGACTTCAGGCAAGCCACGTTCTCCTCGACAAGCCTGTCGACATCTCTGCAGGTACGCAAGGTCAACTGAATCCAGAGCAATCTGACAACTGTAGCTGAAACGTTGTTGGTAGCCTCTCATTGGCCAGCCGCTCGGCAGAGCAGAAAAGCAAAGCCGTGGAGGGCTCGAGCTCCCTGAGGAACACCTCACCCTGAGCACGCAGGCACAAAGATTTGCTGACACTGTGACTCTGAAGCCTCTCTGCACCAGCTATGTGTGCTGTCCACGAATACACTACTAGTAGGACAACCAGCGCTGGCCAGGGCTCAGAGCCCAGCCAGAAGAGGTTTCGGACCACCTGGACAGCAGGACAGCAAAGGCTTTGTTGTTGGTGGCAATCAGCTAGGCAAGTTACTGCCCGCCTGAATTCTCTAGCTACATGGCCATCTGCATGCTCCGAGCCGTAGGCTATACATTTACCAAGACCGTGCTGCCGCGCCAAGCGGCAAGAAGGTCCTGAACATCGGAGTACTGACCTTCAGCAGAGAGCAGCTAAGTCTTTGCAACCAGTCATCAACACGACATGTATAGAAACAATTGAGGCTCAAAAAACTGCGGAAGTTGGCATAAGACCACAGGTTAAGTCCAAACTGATCTTTCACTCTTTACTGAGATGGCCTCGGTTCTTTTCTACACTGCCTGTCATACTTGGAACTTGGGGTCAGCGTGAGGTCCAGCGAAGCTGAGCGCCTGACAGTCCCGGTCCGCGTCCTTGAGCAGTATGTATGATCGTCCCCACCTATGGAGCCAAGGCACTCATGCTGTCATGCGACACTGGAGCGGCTTGCGTTCAGAAGGACGATCGCGACAAATGAAATGCTCGGTTTGCCTTCCCCGCCAAGGTCGCGAGAAAGTGATGCAGAGCCACAGGCAGCTTCCGACCACTACCTCAAGCGAATCACCGTGCATACAGAAGCATCCGTCCCACGTATCAGCCTACCACGACTAAGATCCTCACGCGAGACGACCACACCACGGCCTCCTTCAATATGAACAGAGGCACCTCCAAGTGCCTCTCAAGCAAGGACTCGCCTTTACAGTTTACCTCGCAACACTACCTTCGTGTGCATGAAACCCGCATCTTGGACCGCGTGCTCCCGCTGATCTTCGGGATCATGGTGTTGGTTGGGCAGGATCGCCATAACAAACAAAGATGCGTTTTGATTCATGCTCTCAGGGATGCAACCAGGATCTGAATACGATCAACTCCACGCTCATCAATCCTCTGACATGACTCGATGAAGAGAATTGGCTCTCCTGTGCACTGTATGCTGAGAAGGATTTCGAGACACCAGAAACTCGGCAAGCATGCCCGCTCTGAATAAGACTTTCGTTGCCAAACTGGAACTGCAAGCTTCACTCACTACTGCACTTGCTAGCTCGTCTAGAATGCATCAATCGGAAAAAGCTATGTGTTTCCGGCCTTGGCATCAATTTCGGGAACGTCCTGCAGTGAGCTGTGTAGCTGAAAGGGCAGGCGAAAGCATCTGCACCTAGACGGTCGGCAAGTAGTCATGACGACGCGAAACACAGACCTCCAGAACAGGCTGACCAGCGGTCAGCAGCACGACCTCCACAACATGATGCACTCTCATACAACTTCCCCAATGCCGCACAAGGAGTCCATCAATAGGTCTGATCAGACTGCACAGCAGCGCGCAGCTTAGCAGTACAGTACATTCCACCGGCGCAGGTTGAGGGTTGAGGGAGGTTTGTGGGGCGTGCGATAACCCAATATGTACACCATTATAATATAATAGTTTCTTCTCCCTTATATAACCCCAATATTCCTTACAATCCCTATGTAAACCCTATATAGCCCCTATAATCCCTAGTTTCCATTTCCCCCTATGTATTTCCTGTATAACACCTGTAATCAGCCCTATAATAACCCTATAAACCCTAGATAGTAATTTCCATTTGATTTTCCATTACCCCTCATATATAACCCCCATAATAACCCCTCCCCTGTTTCCATCCAGTCAGATCTGCCACGAAATTGAGCTTCAGAACACCATTATGGGGGTGATTATAGGGGTTATATATAGGGGGTAAATGGAAAATCAACTGAAAACTACTATTTAGGGTTTACAGGCGGTGTTATTATAGGGGTGATTAAAGGTGTTATGTAGGAAATACAAAGGGGATAATGGAAAAGAGCATGGAAACTATCTCATAATGACTCTCACCAGTTTGACTCTTCACAGCTATCAAGATATCAAGATGCTCCGATTTGGAGGGATTGTTCTTCTACGGTGTCAGGATTTGAAGGCCCGAGAGACCTGGGGCTTGAATCTTTTGCGGTTTTTGGCTGTACTTGTAGTAGCCTGTAGGGCTTCGTGGCAAGGGCTTAAGGTCTGGCAGCTCAAAGTTGAAGGGTTGGTTGGACGGCACTTGGTGCTTGAAAGGTGTCAAGCTTTCCGGGGGTCGAGCTTTAGGGTCGTCGATGTTTTTGGAGTTCGGCTTGTATGTTGAGGGTCTTGAGGAGCTCTTTATGGCTGTAGAGTTTAAGGGCGTTTTGCTCTTCCAGGCTTTATGGGCCTTGAATGCTGTTCATGTCCATCGTGTGCTTTGCTTGGGGTCTTCTGGGGTTTGCAGGTTGGAGGCTTCAGAGGCGTTGGGGTTCTTGGTTCCAAAACATGCCTTTTGCATTTGGGAATGTTTGCTGCGTCAGGGTTCAAGAGGAAGGTTTCTGGCGTAGGTGTGGCCTCCACCCCGGAAACCTACACTGCATACGAAGAGGTCAACAGGACCAGAGGAACAGATTAACAGGTGTACTCTAGACCACAAAGCAGTGTGCGCGCTTGAATCCTGTGCCGAGCGGGCCATTAGCAAGATTAGGAATGATCAGCTGAGCTGTCTGACATGAACCCACCAGAAAGATCCGCAAAGGGTTCAGGCTCTAAAGTTGGATTTTTCCTCTGATTCGACTCCAAGAGATTCCAGCAATGGCTGACATCAGGTGAACTGCCACTGTGTGCTGTCTGCCCACTTCGCAAGCAGCGACAGCGGCGCAGTAGCTGATTTCATCTTGCTGAAGCTGGATTTCAGGCATTTGCCGATGCAAGCTGAGGGCCTCCATCCACTTCCCAGCCCTGCCGAAGGCGTTGATTGCGCAATTCAATATGATCTGGTTGGGCCAAACCCTGGTATGTGACATGTCTAGCAGCAGCTGTCCCACAACTTGCCAACGCAAGCCCTTGTCACAGGCACTTATGGCGCTGCCATAGGTGACTTCGTCAGGCAAGAGAGCGCTGCTTCGCAGCAAGGACATTAACTCTAGCGCAATCTGCCAAGACCCAGTCTTTTCACAGGCACTAATGGCACTGTTGAAGCTAATCTCATCTGGATTCAGCTCAGCAAAACACATGCCGTTCAACAGGAGCAGCGCCACTTGCCAGCGTCCAGCCTTCTCACACGCGCTGATGGCACTGTTATAGTTATACGTGTTCGGCATTGCCTGCTCAAGAGACATACATGTCAGAACATGCACTGCCCGCTGCCACTGACCTCCTTTCTCAAAGGCACTGGCCAAACTACTGAAGCTGAATTCGTTTGGTGCAATGTTCGCGTCACGCATGCTACCGAGCAGGTGGAGAGCAAGGTGCCACTGCCCACCCTTCTCGCAAGCACTTATGGCTGCACTGTAAGCGATCTGATCTGCATGTAGACTGGCAGACGGGATGTCTGCCAAAAGATGGAGTGCCCTCGGCCACTGCTTTCCTTTAGCACAGGCGCTGATGAGGCTGCAAAATGTGACAAGATCAGGAAGCAGTTGTCCATCTCGCAAACTGGCAAGAAGTCGGAGCGCCTGCTGCCACTCTCCCGCCTTTTCACACGCGCTAATGCCGCTGTTGTAGGAGATGATGTCAGGCTTCATGTTTAGAGCAGCCATGTGCGCAAATAGGTGCAGTGCAGTCTGCCACACACCACCTTTCTCACACGCCGTAATTGCGCTGCTGATGCTGATTTCATTTGCCAATACACGCACGTTGGCCATGTCAGCGAGCAAATGTATGGCCTGCGTCCACAGCCGAGCCTTTGCACAAGAGCTAATGCAGCTACTGTAGCTGGTGTTGTCAGGAGTCAGGGTAGCCGCATGAATGTCTAAGAGCAGAGACAGCACCAGCCACCACCGGCTGCTCCTTCCACAAGCATTCATGGTTGCATTGAAAGTGATGACATTTGGGTTGGCTTTTGCAGTCGGCATATCTGCCAACACGGCGATTGCCGCTTGCCACCTTGCCTTCCTCCCAGAGGCTGTGATTTGCTTGTTGTAAAACGAAATAGGTTTTGCCAACGTCAAATCTGCAGGCATGGTGCCGTCCTCGTTTCTGGCCGGGGGGCATTCCTATGGTCCTACGAATGTAACACTAAGCTCGCCTTGGGCAGGATCCGCAATTGTCATGTGCTGCAGGAGCGGAGGTCATTCAAATTTGCTATTGCGTCTAGCAACCTTGTTGCTGCTTTCAACATTGGGGCCATCCGGGAGGATGTTGCGGTGTTGCGCTAAACGCAGGACAGCGCCACGCCTCGTCTGGACGCCGAGCCTGCAGAGTCGCGTAGCCTCAGAGGTGGCCGCAACTTGCCACGTGCTAGCCAGGCTTGCTAAAAAGATTCAAACCATTACTTACGTGCGCTTGCCGGGGTGAACCAAGCCCAGAGCGGAGGGTCAGGTCGAGCAGAAATGGATCGGTTCCGTCGAGCAGGGCTACGTGAAGGACCGCCCTGCAACAAGAAAGCACTGATCGGGATAAGAGCTGCTAGGGAAACACATGCCTTTTATCCGTCTAAAAGCGACCTGCTTGGCCGAGCTGAAGTCCAGAGCCAAGGATGACGCTGAATCAGTGCTGCCCAGCACTCCTCACTTACGCAACACAGGTGAACGGTGCAGCACACGTGTAAAACAAACGAGCTACAGCATGCTACAGCCATCTATGGAGATCCACTCTTTTGCAACACAGGGCATGCAGGCTCCGTAGCACGGCTTGTGGGTAGTGGAGCAGGTGCTGATGTGCCCAGCACCTGACACGCCGCTCGCAGCAAGATTTGTAGGACAACGCTTCTGGCATGTTGCTGCCAAGCCAGCCCTCCCAACCTCTGTTGGCACACCGCGAAGGGCAATGTGGCTTGCAAGGACTAGGTCCTGGGAATGAGCAGACCAGGCCAGTCTAGGGGGCACAAATCCAAGCAGACGGCACCAAAGTTCGTCAAGCGTCAGGCTCCAGTGCACAAGCGCCGTGCAGGTCTTGCATTATCTGCCTCGGTCCCGCAAAATGATCGTCGTAGCAGTTGATTTATGGACTACTGAATGCGCCATCATGTTGAACTGTCAAACACAAGAGCGCACTGTTACTGCACAAGCCTGCTGAAATAGAATTCGCTCACACAGTATTTGGCACAAGAGATCCAAGCCCTCTGGAATTTTGCAGCCGTCAGAGCACAGGAATCACAAGGTCAGTCCATGAGACTCATCGAAGAAGTTTCGCCGGTAGAGAACTCCACGTGATGTGGCAGGGATCGGGCCCCCATGCCTCGGCAAGGTAGTCAGTTGACATTTAACAAATCTAACATCGTATCACGCATTGTCAAACAAGTGAGAAAGACACATAGAAGTAAGATTGTGGAATCGTCTAGCCATCCCTGGTGCGGGTGAAGGGCCTTCAATGGAAGATCATTTGTTGAAGAGACCCCATTTTAATGTCATGTTCAAATGTGGCACAAAAAGAAAATCCTGCTCCGGAGATGCCAGAGAGCTCCCCGTACAAAGCAGCCCGACTGGCAAGGACAGCCTCAGACATCAGTCAAGTCCATGCACTGGCATTATCACGTCAGCCACTGTCTCCTGCAGATGCTTTGAGTAAAGATTACAGGCTGCGAATTGCCTCCAAGCAGCACCAGCCCAAAGATCGCTGGCCTCTGACAGGGCATGTCTCTGCTTACAGCGTCCAGTTACATCTGCCGCCAGATAACAATATTTGTTGCACGCGGCTGAAGTTTGTGAGATTTGTGAATCAGCAACTGTCCAGCTGGCACTACATTTCCTTCCGTGGCACCTGGAGGAAGTCGAATAAAGGCGGAGCTTTGCGTCGAAAACCTGGCGCTAACTCTGTCGTTTACACAGGCTTCAAGCTGGCCATGCCCCGTTCTGTCTTCAACTTTCATGGACACTGACCTGCCTACTAGAAAGATCTGTGTCGCAGGGAACTTTTCCAGGTCCAGCACGGCAACCAGCGGATGAAACCTGAATCATTTCATTTCATCTTGCAACTCCAAAGCAGACCTGGGCCGAAAGCTGATTCCAGGATCTCATTGTAGGTCCCTTATGCACAAAAAAGATACAAAACTGTGCGGCATCTCCTGCAGCAAGGGGGCTGGCGCTTGTGAGCGACGCAAGCAACGCGAAGCCTTGCTCACAGCTCCATGAGCTTGGGCGGACAAAGAAGCTTTAAGCACTCTGCTCATCCCTGCTCGCTTTCCTATAATGATGCCCTTCACGAGGTCAGTACGTCTATAAAACATGCCTCGGCCGCGCTGCCCAGGCGGCCACGCCGCAGCGCCGAGCGCCGCCACGTGCCTCGCACTCTGCTCCACGGATGCGGCTCAATCCCCGCTTACCGGAGAACGTTCCAATCCGTTCTGCATTCTGCGCTCAGCATCATCTTTGCAACCTAGTAGCCCTGATTGCCACCACTGCGCGTCGCACGCCTTGCAGGGCGAGTGTTCGGAGTAGCGAGAAGGCGAAGCCCGTGGGAAGCCAACGGCTATGCCACCGCGCCTCGCATCCGCCCCCTCCGTGCCGCCAGGCGAAGTGCTGCAGTTGGGGAGGCGAGTGCCGTCACCTGCAAAGTTCCAAGCTTTTGGAGATTGAGCTCATTGCCATACTCGTGTCGAACCCTCGACTGAGATGTCGGCCACGCGTCGTGGCATGCGTTCCACATCTGCCAGGAAGGCCTCAACCACGGGATCCTGCTCTGGAGCAGCTGTCATGATATGTCATGACCATTTGAGCTTTCCACCGGGCAGATAGCACCGAGGCTGTCCTCTGCTCCCTGCATCTTCAGGAAATCAAAGTGAGCTCTTTGCCTGCTATCAGCGGCGTACTGCACTCTGATTCCGTGCTCGCAGCGCAAGTTCAGCGGCGCTGCGTTGGGCTTTCCCTCCATGGGCCATCCTGATCTCGGAGAAGGGTTCCTGCAAGGTCAGAATTTGAAGGCACTCAGTCAGTCAGTCAGTCAGTCAGTCAATTTGCTGTGTCATGCTGCTCACACATGCTCAGGAAGGAAAGTTGCTGCGCTGAAAGTTGGTGCCTATGGGTAGGCTTAGGTTCAACGACAACTGCCCGCAAATGAAGATTTGAAACTGTTCTGATTAAGAGTCCTGGTTGCCGGTGGATGTAGAAATTGTCGCTGAACTTGGGCATGAAGATCGCGCCTGCATTGAATGCGCAATGCTTTTACTGCGAAAACATCGTTGTTCATCTTAGCTTAGCTTCAGCGGGTCTTGTACAAACAAGGGTCTGGCAAGAAGCTTGCTCTCAGCACTAAAAATAAGGTGGGAACCAACGTCCACAGCACATACGGCATCAGCCACAGCCATCCTACCAGAAATCAAGGGAATGATGCTCCTACTACTCAAGCTGGTAACCCTTGTCCACGGTGGGGCACGAGTCAACTTGTTGTGCAATGCCTGCTTGTGCTGCAGCCTCAAACAAAAGCTACCTGCCGCACCATCTCAGTGGCCTTGAATGCGACCCTCTTCGTAGGCGGCCAACCTGATGCAAGCATTAGCAGCACAACTCCTTTTTGTTGGCTGGGAGGGTCTTATGCGGACAGCATCAGCATGTCTGGTCGCAGAGCACCTGCCTTCGCAAAGAAATGCTGCCATCGACGCCGCGACAAAAGTTACCACTGGATCCATGTGCTAGGCAGCTCAAATGCCACCCTACCTCGGTTGCGTGATGAAGGTGCATAAGGGACGGAGCAGGCCAACGGTCTGACGGTCTGCGACAGACAAGGTTGGTAAAGTTTCTGTGCTTGAAGCTGGCTGGAATTCTCCACTCAGGGATGTGCCAGGGAGCGCAAGCTCTTTGGATTATGTATGGCAGCAGTGGAGAGGATGATGACGGAAGTTGGATCCTGCAGAGCAAGCACAACTGTCAGAGGCCAGGGCCTATCATGAGCCTTCTCAAGACCTGCAGCTTCAAGAACCCATGACAAAAGTGAGAGCATCTCCTCCTCAAGTTGCAAGGCCAAGTTCAAGGCCTCTCCACAACGTGCTGCTGTAGCTCAATACCATGCATATGCACAGAACGCAGCCTGGCTTTGCTCCAAATTCCCTTGAGAATTGCAGGGGGGCCTCCAGAAGGTCACAACTGGCTTGGCAACGCTTCATTGTCACCTGACATGAGTCTTGGCAGGTTGCAGAGACAGCCCTCAAGAGCGCCTTCCCATCACGGGCACGGAACCTAGAGGCAGTAGGTCCATACCTTTCCTTCTCGATGCCGTTTAAGACGGCTGTGCCCAAGCCTTACCCTTGGATATAGCCCGCTGGCGCTTGGCCCGGAGACATTGCTGTGTAAGCTGAATCTTGAGGCTCTCAGCCTCCAGGGAAGAGGCAAAGCTGCCCAGCTGCAAGCGAAGACCTCTCGAAGTAAAACATTGGGAGCAGCTCATGTTGAAGTAGGTGGTTCGTGGAGTGATAATCATTTGCACAAAGCACCTGGGACGCTGCAATCAGCTACGTCGCTACGTCCAGTTGAACCTCATGAAGTGTCTTGGCTGACACTTGCAAAGTCGATTATGACCCACCTTCACTCTCAACTCGAGTTTCGATTCCCGATCTTTCGTTGGATTCACCAGCCTCCTGGGATCCTCAGGAATTGCTTGCTGTCTGCAGCTTGCTCAGCAGAAGCCTGCGGTGTCCAATGAATGTCATTGTGGGATGTCAGAACCAGTAGCCTGCATCAATTGGACACCCACATGCAGCTACAAGCGGGCCCAGAACAAGACGGAAGCCAACTGCAAGCTGTTTCAGGGACAGTGGCCTCCCCAAGGAGATACAGCGCCTGCAGGCTTTGAGAAAAGACTTTGTCATGCTCCCAGGCGAGGTCTCAAGCCGGTGGCCTGCGCCCCAGCGCCCTTCAGCTTCCGCAGGCTCCGCAGCTGATGTGGGCTTTTGGAGCTACTCAGGGCCGACACCACGACGCGAACCTGAAACTGTTGAATGACTTGCACCAGACTGCTCTTGCTGCCAGCTCCCAAGCCTCCTGCTCCCAAAGGCCGGGGAATGCCCTGAGAAGCGAAGCAGAGCCTGAGCAGTGTCTCCAGCACACGAAGCACTGCGCAAAGGACTGATTGCAGCCTCAGAGCAAAGAAAGAAATTCTTGGTGTTGTCACTGCCAGCACCACCCATGTAGAGCGCGTCCTGGCAAACATGATGCGGCATTGAACAATTTCACCCCAGCCAGGGAAAATCACAACCCCCCCCCAGTTGCGACAAAGTGGTCTTTAGCATGGATCCTTCGAGAATGCGTCAGAAGTCGCAGGGCACACACAGCTCCTGCCCAAACCCGAAGTCCAGTGGTCGAGTGCCGAAGCGGGAGGCAAGTGCCTCGCGAACGATGGCCTCTGGCAAATCATGCGCTTCAGCAGATTGCAAGCACGCGATTGCTTGTCTGAACTCTCAACAACATTCCTAAATGCGAAGCATGAATGATTCAAGCAGCATCTGCAGCTCCAACAGCCAAACTGCTCTTTAGCAAGACTCCTACCTTTGGTTCCTGAATGCACTACAGGCGTCCAGAGATAACAAGTCTGCTGCTGCAAGCATGATCTTGCAGACTGCGCTAAGCACCAGGCTTTCCGTGCTAGATGCGCTGAGAGCCAGAGGTCATCGTGAAGCTGCACAGGGAACATGCACTCGAGCTTGCAGCATCTACAAGAAGCACCCCTGGCAAGCTCTTCATCCTGCTGGAACACAAAGCACCCAGCAACCCAGTTCAAAGTTCAAGGTGCCAGACACTGTTTTGCCTGACAGTGCTTGGAGAAGCCGGTGTAGTCAAACACGCTTTCGTCGAAGAACTTGCGGCGGAACAGCGCGCCGTGTACACCTCTGTCGAAGTCTAACTGCAGGTGTTAAAGGCTTAAGGATGCGGATGCGGCGGGATTTGTCGCTACTCATGACATGATGCTCTCATTGAGAGGACTTCACAGCAGCTGCATCTGAAATGAAGTGACATCCCACTGGAGATTGCCTTCCAAGACGACGCCGCTGAGGTGCAGATGCGCGTGCCTAAGTTCATCTGCGGCATCACTTCCTCTATCACGGCCGTTATCCTCATTGAAGCGGCCTCCTGAAAACGCCGCATTCGCGCTTTGTTGCTCTCCCCCTTCAACAGAAGCCGGGGCGCTGTGTGGCGGCGCCAACAGCTCGGCCGGGTGCCGGGCCAGACACGTGTAGCAGCATCTCCTGCGCTCAGGGGACCATCAGGGAGTCACAATCCAATTGAGGGGCTTATACAATACTTCGAAGCAAAAGCAACGCAATGAAGAAATTGGTGTTGCAATTTGAGATGTGACTCTTGCGTTAGCTGCGGTCCTTTACTCTTCTTGTTATATTGGATACTGTTGTTGCTGTTGCCTTGCTCTGGATGCTGTCCGCGTAGTGCTTCTTACTTTTGATTGCTTTCCGACTGCACCATACTGGTGGCGTCAGCCTGTCATTGCGAGAAAACATTGAATCCACTTCTAGCTGCAATTCGCGAAAGCACGGATGTGACCAGGCTTCCCAGTTTGGCTCCAGCAGCCGCGGTCCGTAGCTCTGATCGTCGTCCACCTGCACCCCACAAAGAGGTCTGTCCTTCTGCAACAGTGCCGACATTCAGGCCTGAAGGATGACGGTCTCCGGATCTCGCTCGACTTGGAGCACTTCCTGGGAAGAAGGAAATTTGCCAACAGCTTCTGCACCTCAAGGGATAAAGAGTCACCATTTGGTGGATCATGACGAGGCACCATCATGTGGGTTGCAGGTCCCCAGTCCTCCATGGCAGTGCACGTCAGCGCATTTATTCTAGGCCATGTCATGAGTGCTTACTTCATCAACCAAATATTGAGTTGACACAGCTCCCCACACTGAACATCCGCAGAACTACTCCTTCAGAGGTGGAAATTTACCAGCAAGACTAAATGCCAACGCTGATACTTTACGTTTTACATGTCGCACTCTTCGCTCCAGCTCCTTGCAGCGCACCAATCGCAAACGTGGCTCGGACAGTTTCGATGTTAGCCATCGAGGAATCCTTCGAAAAAGCCAAAGGAAATGCAGCTCGGTCTTCTGAAGAGCTCTGTACACCTCTAGTGTCTCTAATTAGTGACTCTAGTGCGCATTTTGCGCCAACGTATGTCATGTAGAAGCAGCCGAATGTCTTGTACGTCGTGTTCTCGCGTTCGAAGACCTGCACGTGATAGGTCCAGGCAGAGTACTTCGGGTGCTAGAAAACTGTGCGAGTGCTGCCGCCAGAGAGCAGCGCAGACTCCGCAGCTTGCAGTGCTGGACAGTTCAGCACAATCTCTGTAGCCATGCCTGCGGCACGAATAAGTAGACCGCGTCTAGCTGTCGGGTCTGGGTAAGAAGGCTGTCCTGCCAGGCATGTACAAGCCTAGCGCGCTAGAAACACTACTTTTTGCTCGTTGACAGCGAGATGTCCGTGCGCCGCAATCAAAGGTCCCCCATTCCCTACCATGCTCACTCTGCAAAAAAATACCTACCCCCACATGCGATCGACATGCTGATTCAAGCAAGCTCCGAAAGATGGTCCAGGGCAGGTTCGATCTGCGCAATCCGCCGAGGTGTCGTTGTCAAAGCAGCCACAACACGAAGGCTGTGCCATGGCCTGAGAGGGATCTTTAACAAGTTTGGCCTCCCCTCTAGCTCGAGCTTCATTATTTGCGAAGCACGCGACACATTCTCACGTCATGGTATGTGCCACTGCCATCCAGTGACAGGAGCTCTCCAGCGGAAGCTTTCTGCGTCCAGTAGCGGATTTCCTTACAGCGTCGGACTGCAAAAACTTTAAAGATTGCAAACCATCTGAAACAGACAAGCTACTGGGCTAGACAAGCAAGAAAGTTCGCAGTCTGTGGCTGCTGGTAGGAGGCACGGGGCCCGTAGATTTCTTTCGGGCCTCTTTGAATGGTCGCCAGACTCATTGCCAGCTTCATATGTTCGGAATCCCAGGTGCTCTTGACAGCGCCTGCTCGCGTGGATTTTGCTCGTAGGAGGTGACTCGGAAGATGTCCTGCAACCGTGGAGCACGAAGCTTCGATGCTGCCACCCTTTTGATTATGGCATCTGATCGAATAGCCGCCTCCTCGAGTGAGACGCAGGACGCGAGAAGCCTGCCGAAACTTACAAAATGACCCTTGCTGGGACCCTTCATATGGCTGTGATGGCCTGCTCAAGACCCACAGCCGCAACCGCATTCGCCATGCAGATCACGGACGTTGCAAACTCAACTCAGGCGTGTTGAGGTCTCACCGCTCCAGAGTGTCCTATGCATTTACCTAAACGGGTGCCAAAGATGTGGCCTGTCCATATCAAGTTTGGTTTTCTGCCAAAACGAGCATTTGAACCGTCTGCTTGGAGCCATCTGCAGACCTCCAAGTCTTGGTTACAACTTTTTTGTGAACGCAAGGACTTGTAACATTCAAAGTGAGCATTTTCTCACGAGGTTGAATGCGGTCGAGCTATGCCTATATGTCTGTAGGAAGCTCCAAAGGCCAACCAAACATTGGCACTGGCAAAACAGGTGCTTCGGACATCGCCGGAAGCGAGGCGTGTTAGGCAATCCACACTGCTAGGCTAGAAAAAAAATACTGAGTCGTGGATTGACTGCCACATTCGAGACGGGCCCACAGTCAAGCAGGATGTCCAAGTTGCACAATGCAACCTCGGCCTCGGCCGCCCGCTTGCGTCGCCGCCTTTAGACGAAGTTCCTTCTGCCAGAATAAGCAGGCCTTTCGTGACAATGCAAGCACGGAAGGAGCCTCAATTCGAAAACGCTATGCTTCGGCTCCACTCTGGACCAATAAACACACATGGACTGCATTGACTACATGAGTTCAGTAACGTGTGAAGGGGTGGTTCTGAGAGCTCCCTCACTGGCAAAGTCACTCATTCGCATGCTACTCTCGGAAAGGAACTGTCAAAGGCATTCAGGCTGGGGCATTGCAGCGGCGAGGGAATGCTCAACCCAGATCTGCGGTCACTGTAAGACCCTGCTCCAAATCAGTGGAAAACTGGCATGACTGCCATGCTCTGTCAGCAAGCCAGGACTGACCAGGATATCGTTTCACTGACTTTTAAACTAACATGGATTATCCAAGTGCTGCCAAATGATCATAACTGAACGTCGCGCAAAGAAGGGTGAGACGTGAAAATGGCACAGACCGGACGTCTGTCACGCGAGGTCCTCGCGGCAGCTACTGCCTGCAAATGCGAGGCACTTGAGATGCTGGTCCGTGGCGCTGTGGCGATAGATTTTGCGCAGCTCTGTTCTGTAGCAGCAAATACCGGTAAGTGCATTTTGTCCATATGTAGCAAGCTACCCCAAGCTGATGCTGGAATCCGCGCACTGTCCGACCCCAGCGCACAAGCGTGCCCCCTTGAGGCTCGCAGCAATTTGCCAGAAGCATCCTGAAATCTACCTAGCTGGTCAATGTCGGCGCTTGCTATGAGCCGTTGACGGGATGTCCGATTCGCCAAGTACCATCTAGACGCCCGCACAATGAGATCCATTTTAGTGCGATCTGCCCACATGTCAGCGGACAGGTGTACAGTCTTTAAATGAGCTATAAAATCAGCTTCATATAGGCAATGTACAAGGGACTATCGATTTGGGATCACACTTAGTTGCCAGAGGGAATTCCTTGTCCCTTTTTGGAGAGCTCTTTTCCACCTTTCAGTATACTGGGTCTACGACTACAGCTCAGCTCGCGCGTCAGTATAGCTGGATCTAGATCTCCAAGGCACGCTTTATTGTCACGGCCCACCGAGCCCTTGTCGTCTGTTACCTCTGTACAATTGCACTTGAATTATGCCCTTGAAGGAGTAGGATACCGTGATTGAGACTAAGCCGAAGATCCTGACCCGTGCAACCAACAACATTACTAAAAGCAGGAGACATGAACCGGTTTCGTCTGATCAACGCACCAGTGGCCTGTCGCTGCTGAGCAGAAAACCTTGCGGAGCATCCTGAGCAAAAAACGGGGGCTTTCACAGCATAGTAAGAGAAGCAGAATCAAGGACTGCCACCATTGTGGCAGTAAGCTATTGGCGGAACCCGCAGTTGGCTTCTGCGAAGGCAGGCCCTGAGAAGACATGTCTGCAGGCATGCTTATGCCATGCTAGTAAATGAATCTGAACATCTCTCAAACAGCGCTTTAACTCAAATGCCAGCCTGCTTTGTGCCTGCGAGAACTGCCTTGATGTCTGGCAGGATCTTCGAGGGAGGCACCCTGCCAGCAGCCAGGTCATGCGGAGCTTTCAGCAGAAAAGTTGGGTCTGAGAGCCATGCTTTGGGCTGTAGTACTCGACGACACGGCCCTCCTTGTCAATGAGGAATTTTGCCTGCCGGCCATTGCAATCCCCTGCAAACCAGTAGATAGAGTTGTTTCATCTGTCGGAGAGGTTTGTGACGAGGCCCTCGCGAAATTCCAGGGTATGGGCTTCATGTATCTTCCCGATCTGGTGGCTGCTGCATTGTACCTGCCACTGTCAGACAGGAGAATGGCCAGTGGCTACTGTGCCGCATTTGGGTGGATTCATCGCTTTAGAATGATGCTTTGAAAGTGCTCTGCCGGATCAGCCCAGACATTGGAAGCTTCTAACATGCTTCAAGATGGTGAGGGGGCCGGCTTTTTGTTACCTACTCGGCGCATCACAGTCAGAAGTCCACGGCTCTCGCACGGCGACAAGACTGTGATCTGCCTGCAGAAGTGATAGACGGGATGGGCATGAGGACCATTCGCATGGACCTGCCAGAGTTAAGTTGAACTGCACTTACGTCGCAAAACAGATGCGAACTCAGACTAACCTGACAACTTTTGAACCGAAACAAAATTGGAGTGCGATGCATGGTTGGGCTGCAAGACTTACAACCCTTGCGCCACGCTGCCTGCAACAGAGTTCTAAACGGGTTGCAGTCACTTCTTCCTCTTTAATGACAGCTTCTCTGCGAGACATACAAAATCAAAGCGCTATGGTAGCCACATCAGCCATTGACTTTGCGGATCTCACAGTCACATTTACTCATCTAGAACAAGCTTCAGCGGATCCCCCTGCCTGCTTGATCTAGCTAGCATTCTGGCAATGGCTATCAATGATTTCGCGTTGCATGAGGCAAGTCTGACTTTCTGACTCTGCATGGCCTTCTCGAAAAGAGAATACTTTGCATCATCGGGCAAACTGCCTGGAACAATCAATGTTGAAGCTAGTAGCAGCTAGAATGGGCTGAAATCAGGCATGCATGGCATTGGCGCGCTCAGGGCCTTCAACGAAAGTTGCGATCTGCTCCGGTGTGCCCTGCAGGAGGGCAAAGCGCCAATTCTCAACGACTCTCAGCCCCACTTGATGAACCTGGTTTGCCTCTTCAGCTGGCCACTGAAAACCTTGCCTGCTCCTGCTTTCCAAACTGGTTGCATGGGAAGGCCAGCCTGACAAGACGGCAGACCAGGATTTAACGTGAATAATGCAGCAAGGCTGTGACGCTGGAGAGTTTGATCTCAAAAGAAGTATTGCAGTGGTGACATCCGCTCATGGTGATACATAAGCGGCGCACCAAACGAGGAATGCTAATCCAGGCCAAGGAGCACTTCGAAAGGCTCAGCTTTCAGCTCTGTGCAGATGTCAAACAATTCAGCGTAGTTTTGCTTCGTCAAACCTGCTCAGCTTGAAGAGCCAACGACAAATTCCTCAGACTTCGGAAACGTGGGCGCAAAGCGTGTAGGCCTCATTTGGTTGCCACGTTGACAACCAAGGTCACCTGGGGCAGTCTAGGATTGCTCAGCAATCACACTAATAGAATCCAGAGCTCACAACAGGACCTTCACCTGTTTCTGAGCACAACGGCTTGCGGGCAACCAGCATTGACTGCTTCGTTTCTACTGTACGATGCTGAGTTGTGTGTTGCCATCGGGGCACCGTGTTCTTGAACATGGCGAACTTCACCATTTCACCGGAAAGCAAGCGAGCGTGCAGCTCGTGGAAATTTTCTGTGACAACCTGAGGCACACTTCGACTACAGCGCTGCTGACAAAAAGCTTCCACCTGGGCCCCGGCTGTTGGCACCTCACTGCCTCCTGGCCATAACTTGAGGAGCGTAAGAAGTAATGTGGATTCAGCAACTTCTATCTCGAGCTCGCACCTCCGCACAGCGAACCGAGGGTTCGGAAGACCTGCTTGGTTGCCTCCGCGTGAGCGACGACTGTTGTTTATGGTCTATATAAAAAAACGCACTGCTTCTTGTTGGCCTCATGTTTGATCTCGGGGCTCATGTCGACAAAATGGCATGATCTCGTTCATCATGCTGGAGTATGCATCTGGGATGGTTAGTGAAAAGCCCATGTTGTACGAGTATTACCCATCCCGATCAATCCGCAGACGCTATCTGGTTCCTGCCGGCGTCCTGGAGGCAAAAGCACTGATGGGGCTAGACTTCTTCTGTCTCACGTTCTAAATATATTGCGGAAGCTCGCTCGCCTAGAATGCTGAGCTCACCCTCGCTTGAACCGTCGTGAGGAGGTCCCTACTGAATCGGACTTCACAAGATGTGAGGGCCAGGTTCCTCCTATACATGCAGATTCTACAGCCAAGACATAAATGCAGACCGCCGCCTCCCAGCCATCAACCTCTGGAGTCGGCACAGCCTGTGTGTCTGGGCTTGCAAGCACGGTGCAATCGCAAAGAGGGGTGGGTGAGCGAGAGAGAGAGAGAGAGAGAGAGATGGATCCAGCATGAAGGTGCATGCCCGGAGCAGAGAAAAAAGCGCACAAGCCCCGACCGGTGCCAGGCAAGGTTGTGCAGCAAGTATCTCCTCGTCATCCTAGTCCTAGCCCTACTCTGGTTCAGACAGCGAACTCAGCTGTGCTGTTGCTATCGCATTCTGGACTTTGGGGGAGCCTGTGTCCAGGATTCAGACCCTGCTAGTGGTCCAAGCTACACGTGCCACAACACATCCTCACCACGGTGCTTTTGAAGCAAAAAAAGCAGTCCGTCGATCACATCTGAGTGCCAACAAATTCCTGAGCCCAGTCTGGAGCCTCGCAGTCGGCACAAACGAACGGCTCCACTTCTGCCTGTCATTCAGAGCAGCTTCTACTTTATTCATCGCTGTTCGTATCAGCTTCAAGTTTGTATATACGTTCCTTCCATACTCAATGCAAGGAACGATGTGCTTGGAAATGTGTCGCTGGGGGAGCTGTAAGCACTTTTTCACGGCGAAGCATAGACAGAAGCTTCACTCTTTCAGCACAGCACTAGTCCAGCGCACGGCCTGAGGGCGGGTCGTGCTCTTCACCGAGGGCTCTTCAGCCATTGCAGCAGCTGGAGCAGCACTCACTAGTTCCCACCTGGTGGCAAATGCCTGCAACAAGAATTCGCATACACTCCTGCTTCGAGCGTGGGGGCTGGTTTGCACTGCAAATTTTGGCAAAGATCCTGACCCTGCATGTGAAACCTCTGGTAGCAATTAACCAGTGCAAAATTAATCAAACACAAAATGTTAATGATGCCATGTACGATTGCGGACGTTGGACGTTGCAAGAACAGCAGTGATTTGTATGCTAACCGCTTACAAGCGACTGCAAAACCAGCAACTCTGCGTGCTCGTTTTCCTTCTCTTGCTGAGCGCACTTTGGCTCACAGAGCTTGAGGAATGTATTGGCCGGTCTTCTCATTGTACCTGGCGCATTTCATAAATTGCATGCCAAAAGCTTCAATGTGGCCTGGCCAATGAGGTCAAGCACTTGAGGCAATGCATTAGAGCTCAAACGGGGCAGCGCGCAGGAAGATCTCGCGCCGTACTGAAGACTTCGCGAAAGTTTGTCGCAAACTCTCCAACCGTTGCCGGTCAAGCCTGGAGGGCTGCGGACCGAGGAGGGCAGGTGCTCTACAGAAACGAGGGCTTCCTGCAATCCCTTGGCAACATCTCCCTTGCAAATTCTGTGGCTAATAGCAAAGCACGCTGAGGCATTGCTACCAGTGGGGCCAACACCAGCCCAGCATCTCTGGATGACTAACGACCAATGCGATGACTCATCTTGCCAGCAAGCATTCCGGATGACCTGAAGTGCATCATGCACGGCCGCTTGAGATGGGCGTTCAGCTCGCCGTTCCGGTCAACGTACCTCGCCGGCTGTCAAGCTGCCAGTAAAAAGATTTACAGACGGAGCCAGAAAGATATATGGAACGGATGAACAGCGACTCAACTTGCCGCATTGCGAGTGTCTTGCTGGAGAGGCCGCTATAACAAATGCTGCTCGTGCCTGTCCAGCAGCTGCAGGGGCACGGGCAATCCCAAAGGCAGCAGTCCGGAGCACTGACTGCCAGGACTTGGGCCAAGTACCTGAAGCCAGTCTGTAAGAGCTGCAGGCCTCCGTCAAAGCTCATCATGGTGCGCAAGGCAAGTTGCGCGCGCTAGGAAAGCTTTTGATATGAAAGCGAACACATGCATCAGAGACTTAAGGCTTCTCAGGCTCTTCCCTTTCCACGACACATCTTGCACAAGTATCTGCGCAATCAATGCGGAAGAGCTTGTTCTGAGTGGCGCGCGGCAGCAGGAAGAGGCACTGTCCAGCGGCACATCTTCGCGCGTGCTCCGTGCACTGCCCCTGCGAAGGATGCGAACGACAATCAGCTTACCAGCTTCCTCAGTGAGTCCATCAGTGAGTCCATCAGGGTGAGCCTCCTGGTCTCTTCGGCCCCGGCATTCCTTAATCTTCTTTTCTCCATGTCAGGGCCACAGCTGAGGAATCGCTGGGTGCTGCACGCGGCTGCCCAAACAGACGAGAGTGCCACCTCAAAGGCTCAAAGGCTAAGAGGGCAGCAAACAGCAACGCAGCAGTGCTTGTCGCCGAAACTTTTCGTGATGCATACCTACAATGCAAGTAATGCGCCAGACGCTCAGATGCGCCTGAAACCTGTCTTGCGAGTCCGAGGTTCTGGCACAGAAGACACAGCGCTGGTTCGATCGGAGGCTGAGTGTGGAGGCTTCGGATGTGTCAGTCCAATGTGATTGCCGCTTCCGTTTTCAACAGTCCACCTTTACTACACTACGTTGATCAGCTATGACCACCTGCTAGCTTTGAGAAGGTTCCAAAGAACAACTTTACGATTCTGATGTTACCCACCACGTGTCCCGGGCTGAAACCCGTATCAGGCCTACTGCTGTTGCAGAATTGTCGGACTTACTTGAAACCTGTCAGCCCATTTTGCCCTACCCTGCCCAACTTGCCTTCCCACAGGCAGCGCACGGCCTCGAGCAAGTCTGGAGGATTGAAAGCAGGTTCCCACACATGCATGCTGGGGAGGCGAGATTCAACAATCATTGCGCGACTTAAATTGTCATTACCTTTCTTTCCGTCGGCACTAGGCAGGCTGCTTTGGCACGCCCTGTTCAGCCTGTGTCATACAAATTATTGGCAGTTTGTTGTTCAACTACCTGAATTTCGCGCATGCAAAGGTTTGAAGCGGGGACTGCCGTCTTTTCGCGACAATTGCATGAGCCTGAGAACGTGCAAGGCCAGCTCCCATTGAGCTCCTTTCTCACAGCAAGAGACCGTAGCTGCAAAGCTGAAGCTGTTTGGGGTAACATTTGTGTTAAGCATCTGTTGAAAAACACTCAGACCAACCTGCCACTGCCCACCCTTCTCGCAGGCACTGATCGTTGCACTGTACGTGACCACATCGGGTGCGATCTGGAGCTTCAGCATGTCCTTCAGAATCCTCCCCGCCAACTGCCATTGACCGGCTTTCTCTGCTGCACTCACAGAGGTATTGAAGCTGATAACGTTGGGCGGAACGATGCTTCTAGTCATTTGGGTCAGCAAGCTTAAGGCTCGCTGCCACTGTGCTCCTTTCTCAAGAGCACTCATGGATGCACTGTAAGTAATGACATTTGGCGTCAGCCTGCGGACCGGTATCATGCTGGCAACTTCAAGGGCAAGCTCCCATGAAGTGCCTTTCTCACAGCAACTAATAGCACAGCTCAGAGCAACGATGTCAGGCAAAACATGGGATGGCATGGTGTGATATAACCATAGGCCTAGCTGCCACTGTGCACTCTCTTCTAAGCAGCTCAACGCTGACCCATAGCTAATTACATCGGGTTGAGCTCTTGTCTCGCGAATCTTGTTGAAGCATTGTAAGGCCAAGGCCCAGTGAGCACTTGACTTGCAGGCGTTGATGGCTGCAGTGTAGCTCACAACATCTGGACGCACGTCTGTTCGCAGCATCTGGTAAAGTAGCAACCATGACACCTGCCAGTTTCCCTCAGTGCAGGAACTGATGAGCGAATTGTAAGTTATAACGTTTGGGGCTGGACCACAACTGCACATGGCCTCCAGAAGGCCCAGTGAAGGCTGCCACTGCACACTTTTCGACACAGCTCCTATGGTGGTGTTATAACTGACAATGTCAGGAACCACCTCCAGATCTGGCATTCTGACAAACAGCCAAAGTGTCTGCTGCCACTGCTTGCCCAATCCCAATGATGCGAGCGTTGAGTTATAGGTGACAACATTTGGTTGAAGCTGCGCTGCGCGCATGGAACAGAATACATCCAGAGATGCTTGCCATTGCTTGCTCCGAACCAAAGCCTTCAGGCCAATGTTCACTTGTGTCACTGACAGCGGGGCTCCAAGTGATGACCGTTGCAAATCCGGCACCCTGCGAAGCAGGAAAGGTTTTTCCCTGTTTCGCATCTCCTTCACTGAGGACTGCAGGGCCCTCATACAAGGAGTTGGCTCGGGGAGCCAGTTCAGAACCGCGGGATCATTCGGCCTTGCATGATGCGTCTGCCCCATGCACATATGAACTCGACACTCAACATTGAGCTGCCGCTTGGTTGACTTGAGCCCAGAACTCCCGGGCCAACAGATCAACATGTTCTGAATCTCAACGTGCAGGGACTGACTTATGAGACTAATCACCACTGCTACTTACCAGCAGCGGTAGCAGCAGCGCAGCAGAGACTCAAGAGCACAGACTCGACGCTCTTAATTCGGGCTCTACATTTGATACAAAGTGAGATCAGCCAAAAGACAGAGAGGAAGGGTGATAAGGCAATTTCCGAGTTGAAGTTGTCCAGGTGTCACTCCAAGGCCGCGTCCTAGCCCATCAGAAGGGAGCTGTGAAACTGAGGAAGCGTGAAAGCCTAAGCCCCGTTTGTCGGGACCAAGGCTTCCGCCCCTGACCAGAGAGCCTAGCGTCTCCTTGTATGATACTGCATCAGGAATTATCTCCAACTCTGTCATGACGTCAATCAACCCAGCAGCCAGTTGCCACTGTGCTGCCTTCTTGCATCCATGAATGATCACGCCGTAGCTTACGACGTCTGGCATGACGACAGCACTGGACATGTGGTCTAGAAGCTCCAGTGCCCACTGCCACTGTTGGGCTTTCTCGCAAGCACTCATGGCCGAACTGAAGCTTACGACATTGGGGATGATGCTCGTTGCAGACATTGTATCGAGGAGCCGCATCGCTTGGAGCCACTGCTGCGCTTTCTCACAGACACTTATAGCCGAGCTGTAACTGATGACATTGGGGCTGATTGTTTCTCGCTGCATGGACTCAATCATTGCCAATGCCAACATCCACTGTGCACCCTTCTCACAAGAGGAAAGAGCTGCACTATAGCTGACGACATTCTGCTCTAGCATTGCCTGCCAGATGTTTTTGAAGAGATGCAGCGCAAGCTGCCACTGACTGCCCTTGTGGCATGCACTTATCACTGTGCTATAGCTGACGAGGTTCGGCACAAGCTTTGCATGTGGCATGCCTTGCAACAGGTTCAAAGAATGCGACCACTGAGTTCCCTTCTCTAAAACACTCAGAGCCGCACCGTAGGTATAAATGCTTGGCTGCATCTCTTTGCTGGTCATAGAGCAGAGGAGGTGAGCAGCCAGCTCCCACTCTCCACTGCAGCAACTGACGGTAGCATTGTAGCTGATGACATCTGGCTCAATCCTAGCCTCAAAGATTCCAGCGAACAGATGCAAGGCAAGTTGCCATTGGTCACCACCACGCGCGCAAGAAATGGCTATGTTGTGAGTGACGAGACTCGGGCAAATGCGCGCCTGCGGCATGTCTGTGAAAAGTTGCAAGCCGAGCTGCCACTGCCTTGCTCTGTCGCAGGCCTTTATGGTTATGTTGTAGTGCATAGCATCCGCTTGGACGGCCGCTGTCGGCAAAGCTGCCAGCAGGGCAACACTCCCTTGCCAAAATTGAGATGTGGCGCAGGAGCTCATGCCGATAAACATCTGTGCCGCAGTCGGCCCGAATCTCCCAGACGTTTGCATAGACTCAAGCACGTCA